CTACCAACATTTGTAGTCAATCGAGTTAAAGCTGTAGGAGGAGTTCGTTAAAGTACGGAGGGTGTAAATTGGTTAAAATTTTGTAAAAAATTCAAAATGGCCGACTTTCTGTTGGGTTTAGGGTATGGTTCCAAGAGGGTTATTTTTAAGTCTAGAATGATACATTGGCTCCCCACATTTCGTACAGCTATGTAAAACATACGGCTGGGGCTGCTTCTTTGAAATAGTTTAGGGGGCGCAAAGGAGCCATTTTACCAAAACCACAATGTGCAACCATATTAGATAACAAAGAACACCCCTTCTGACATGCGTGGCAAGTTTTCTGAGGTTTAAAGTGGGCCTAGCCATGTGAAGGCTAAAAGTCTCACAATGGACATTTTTGTCCCAAATTGTGCAATGTGTTATAAAAGTAAAAATGAGGCATTAGGGGTAAAGTTTGAAACATGTCCTTTCCTGGTGCCAGAAGGTGGCGCTGTCATTATGACTGGATATTGACATGTAAGACTCTATGGGGTTGACATGTGAAATTCGGAACAGATGTGACCATATCTAGCCCATTTACATGTAACTTCTTTTTCATGGCAAAACATCAAAATTCATCGCTCTGCCATGTCCATGCTGTTTGAGCAATCAAAAATATTCTTGCAATTTAACATCGCAAGTTTCTTAAGATGGTGCTACCCACATTTGAAGTCAATCGGGTTAAAACTCTAGGAGGAGTTTGTTAAAGTACGGAGCCTGTAAACAGGGAAAGCGCTTGTAAATAAATCTAAATGCCTGACTTCCTGTTGGGTTTAGGGTATGGCTCCAGCAGACTTAAGTCTGGAAATGATACATCAGTTTCTCAGGTTTGGTACAGCTAGGTAAAACGTACGGCAGGGGCTGCTTTTTTGAAATTTTGTAGGGGGTGCTATTGATCCAATTTTTCATAACCACGCCCCCAAACCATATCGGCCAATACAAAACAACCGTTCTGACGAGCATGCAAACTCGTAAGGGTTAGACTATCCCTGGCCATGTGACTTCTAAAAAGGCTTTAAGGGGCGCTATAGAGCCAACGTGCAAACCTCAGTCTTAAAAATTACATGAAATCAAAACATTTCCAGTTTGAGTCTGGCTGCAAAGTTTTGTGGCTCTTTGAGCATCCTAAAGGCCTCAAATAGGTGTTTAAAAAATTCAAAATAACGCAGGAAGCGAAAAATGCCTCACTTCCTGTTTAGCAAAATCTCATAAAAAAGCAGAAATGTGGACTTTGTAATAAGAGCAATAATCCCACCACATCTCATGATGATCAAAGAAACTTTGTCCAAAATCTATTGTTTGTTTAGGGGCACTATTGAGCCCCCTGGCGACGCCCAACCCCAATCACTGCAGAACATTGGATTTCCCACCAGACCTGAGGAGTGTGTGTGTATTTTTGTGAGGATTTGAGTATCCTAAAACCATGCAAAATGAGTTCTTCGTGGGGAGAAAAAAAAATAAAAAATCTGAGCAAAAACAATAGGTTCCTTGCACTTCATGCTAGGACACCGTTGGTGTCCTTGCACTTTCGTGCTTGGGCCCTAAATATTGCACATTACAATTGGCTACGAGGGTGGGATGGCACTCCCCTAGAAGACTATTATCAGGCAGCACAACTCGGGCCTCTGATTAAGTGGTGTGACAAAGACTAACTCTAAGTGGAAGGAGATTGAGAAGAAGGCAATTAGCACCCCAATCCAATCCTTAGTTGGTAACATTACATTAATAAAAACTCTGAAAGATTCAATAGATCCAGTAACCACACATACACTCTGAACATCTGGTCTGGTTTTATTAAAAGGCATAAACTAGGACAAGAAGTTAGACTCTTGAGCTGGTTGACCTATGATGATTGATTTAAACCAAGTTTGACCGATCTGACGTATAAAAATTGGGAGAGGAAGGAAATGACTGCAATGTACACACTATTCAGGGTTTGAGTTACGTGGGAGCCAGTGGGCGCTCAGCTCCCATAAAGAGGGTCTGAGCTCCCACGGAAGCAGTAAAATTATGCATCTGTGGGGGTCTCTAATTCATTTATCAACAACCATTATTTTGAATCACAAATAATGTAGCCTATTTTTCATTGTAATTAGTAACTACTATTATTTACATTAAAAAGATAAACAGACTTAAATGACCATACTTTCCTAATGAACTACGCTGCGCACCGCATGACTGACAGGATGGCTGCACTTCTCCACCATCAGCCGCCATGGTGCGTGTTTTGAACAGGTTGAGGCTGCGACCCGCGAACATGTTCAACTAGAATTAGACTATGTTTTGACTGCTGCTTATTTGTTTAGTATTGTTGGCTTTTTGATGCATCCTCCAATTAGTACAGTCCTACAAATGATAATATACTTTTTTACAATTACACTTTAATATTATACCTACCATGAAGGGCAGAATTACAGTCTCTCCTTGAATAGTCTCTGATGGAATTTTTCACGCTATTGAAACTTAAACTTTGTTGCGATATCGCAGACGACTGGGGAAAGTAGCGGACTGATGTGTGTGTGTGTTTGTGCGTTTGCATGTGTGTGAGAGAGGGAAATGTTGAATCACGTAATAATCAATGATTTCTCTCTCTACCTCTATCTCTCTCTGCCGGTAACGTTAGTTATTTGGCTATATTAGAGACCCCCACGAAGCTCAAAATAAGTACTTTATAATAAATGTATTAATTCTGATGGCAATTGTAAATTCAGCAGTAAAAATGTTACTTTGTACCTTTTCTCCATTAGATTGTTCATTATATCAATTTAATTCCTAAGTTCAAACAACAAAAATGCTGTGAAGACTGTCAACATATAGTTCTCTTTTAATATCTTTATTTAATATAGACTACCCTTGGCAAAGTTTTTATTTGTGTCTGCCTACATATTTGTATACTGTTCTTTATGTCCCATGTACACTTTGTTCCGCTTTTTGTGATAAAGATTTAAGGAAAAAATTTTATTATTCTGACACCACATGAATGCACCATCAGTCACCGCTCACCTCCCCCCCCCCCATTCCAAGTGCTGAGGAGAAGCTATGGTGGCCGATACGCTCTGTCGGCCCTTGTGTTAAATAATACATCTGGCCCTCTATTTGTCTAAATTTCACTTCTGTTCTTACTTCTAACAAACCAGCCGCTGCCGACTACTGCTACTACCTCTACTTCTGCTTGTTTTTTGTACATTGTATTCAATGTAGTGATGAAATGCGCTCTGTAGAGCAGTTTGCCCATTCGGGCTACTGTGGAAACATGGCGACGTCCATGTGAGAGGACCCACGATGTATTTATGATAGAAATGGCTCATTCTGAGGTAATCAAAACATAACAGTTAATTTTGTATGGTCTTTATACACAACTGAAACATCGTTATGGATATTATATTGCATTTCTGTCAATAGATCCTCAGAAATATTACACACTGGAGCTATAAATAAAAATGTTTGTGCTGTTTAAAAATGTGTTCAGTAATTTCGAGAAATACGATTATTAAATAATAATAAAATAAATTAAAAATGTATAAAATAAATTATAATAAAAATAACATAAAACATTTGCACCTTCCAACCAAAACTTCATCATGCCATGCTTTTTTTTAGAGCAACTTACGCTATATATGGCACTTTTTGTATTTTTATCTACAGGTGAAAAGTAGCGACACCACGCTACGTTTCCTTTTTGCCTTTCTCACACAAGTCTGACACGCAAGTGTGCGACTGCACCACTGCTTGACAATTCATATCGTTTTCACAATGCTTCTTAATCGGTATGTATGTCATACGGATGTTTTCTTTTGAAACTGTGTTGACGTTGAAATACAACATTTTTTAAAAGGCTGCGCACTCGGTTCTCTTCACATAGGTTTCTACAGTCATGTGCCAAGGGCCAACTAAATATTTCAGGGCTGTTTCTTGGCACAAAATGTGCCTTATTCACATACGGTCATGTATCGTATCCAGCAGCTTGTAAGAAGTGCCGGTGCGCAAGACAAAGTCAGGGTACACCAAAGTAAATTGTAGAAGTGCTGTTACTGCGTACCAGTGAATACCGGCCCACTCAAGCACTGGGCACAAACATACAAAAGTACTGAAAATTTTGGGAGTGATACATCCACCAACCTTACTTATTTAGTGATCCAAGCAGCACAGCGTATATTTTTGCAATTATCTCAAACGACTTTGTTTAGAGTCAAAGTTCTTTCACACTTTTAATCTCTGGATTCATTTGAATCTTTGCTCCAATGGTCTTCTGCTGTACAAATGTCAAATTATGCAGTTTTTCTACAGACATCGCTGATCCAAAGACTAAAAAGAATTTTGATACGTCAGTCTGTTCGCCACACAAATGTTTGACCACAAGATGATGCTGTAATACTTAAGTTTGATTAAATGTAACAAAAATGTTATTATTGATATGATTATTGTTAATTGATACCAAATAAATAGCGTGTAAGTATCGGAAGAATCGATCCTGCGTTATCCGCCCATCCCTACACTAAGCCTAGCAATACCAGTTCAGCTATTTAAGGATTTAGCAGCTAAAGCGGTAAGGCAGAAGACAACGGGGATAATATGAGAAGGGTTTGGGTGGCTCGCTTTTTAGCTATATCTGGAGCCTTTTGTTTAAACATGTTCAACATTTCATAAAGTGGATGCACATGTTAGTGTCATGTTTCGTGAACTGACCAATCACAGCCTGGACAGCAAACTTTCAAAATGTTAAACCCATTTTCATGCATGACTGGTTATGGTAGAAGTTAGTACTTACCATTAACAAATTACAGACTAAAATGTCAAAAAGCCCATATTCCATTTTTAGTCCGTCCCTGGTCATGACCTTTTATTCATGCAAAACCTGGATCTACAATAATACAGTAGGGATAAATGCTGTTCTAAATATTGTTGTTGTAGCTAACATGTGATTTAGGTTGATAAGACAGACAGCATATTTTTTTGACATCAACAAACAAATTACAAAAGCTGATGCTGTCTATGTCAGTGCAGTATGTCTTCTGTTATGTTTCAGTAAGGCCGACAGTGATTGAAACAGCCGTGTATGTCAACAGCATTGGACCAGTGGACCCCATCAACATGGTGAGACTGCTTCTTCTGATTTCTGTATTCTTTTTCCTCTACTGATATAAAGGGATAATGGATGGATAAACCCCCTTACTAATAATAAATAATATTATTAAATAACCAGCGTATTCAAGCTACCATGACACCACATACTAGTTTTTCCACAGCTTTCAACCTCTATACACTGAGGAAGACTGTGAGATGGGGTTGAAAGTGATGGAAAAAAACAAGTAAGTGAACCTTATTGTGTTTCGGGCAAAATTGGCAGAACTTTCAATATAATATCAAAATCAATATATGGTTATTTGTCCCATACACATCATACACAATATAACTTGTAGTTCATAATTTGTTAGTTTGTTTCTAGCTCCAGAAAGTAACTATAGGGACCTACTAAATATGGTTAAATGAAAAGACTTTTTCTTTACATGTGGGAACTTAATAGGAAAAACTACACCTACCATGATGCTTTGCTCCTTGTGAATGCCCGTGTCATGATTACTTAGCCAATGTGATTTCAGTTTTGCTGATTGATGTAAACTTAGCCTACTAGGGAGCACTTAGAAGGGAGGAGGGGAGAAAGAAGTAGTCGGAAGAGAAGTAACTGGGGGAGACACATGCGGGAGAAAAGCAGCTGTGTATCGATGTGCTGTAAAACATTAAGTTGAAATCGGAGACTATTAGTATTTGTAGACTTAAGTACATATACGTATGGGCACAAATATTACCTTGCAGGTAATTTCTGTGTCGTGGGCTCAGTCGTTTGTTTTTTTCCAGTGAAAGTGATCAGTGTAGCTCGGTCAGTCCCCTGCTCGTGTTAGCAATAACAGAGTAAAGTGTAAAAGTGCAAACTGATGGACTTTTAAACTAGAGGGACATTGACTTGGACTGTTGTGAGAAACAACAAGTCTTAGACGCAGAGCACAGCTTTTTACCGAAGGACTGGAGAAAAAGAGGAGCCATGGGACCTAGCCTGCTAAGTAGCACCACTGTGAGGAGGAACCCCGCCCAAGGGACTTGCATCGCCTCACGGGCATCAACCTACTGCACCTTGCCTATGGAGTTAATTTTGTTTCATTACTTGTGGGAACAGATGAGTGACACAAAATGAAGATTTGTAAACTCATAAATATTTTGAATCTGAATATATTAAATAATTTACAAATAACCAAATTTGTGAATATCTTCCTAACATTTACAGCTTTCAAATAGGCATTTGTGAGTAAAATAATGGTTGAAAAGCATTTGTGAATATCTTCCTAACATTTGACACTTTCGAACAGGCATTTGTGAGTACCGCCTGTATTTGTCGATCTCAGTTCTTCACGCACAGAGTTTTAAAACAATCCTTACGCCGGTGGAAAGAAAATCGACTAATGTCACTTTTCGGAGACCACGTGATCTTGCCTGCTGACGTCATTTCCTTATTTCAAAGTAAAAAAACGCTAAAAGCGCTAGCTTGTTACTATCGCTAAGGAAATATCAGCTGCTCTGTTTCAACAAAACGTGAATGCAGACTGAAATTCAACTGTGGTGTCAGGAGAGGCAGAGATTTAAACCAGCGGTGAGTAAGAAATAGTATACATCATACAATTTGTTAAGCTGTGAGTAGAGGGACATTAAACTGTAAGTAAGAAAATGTCAAATGTTAGGAAGATATTCACAAATGTGGTTATTTATGTATTCTGATAATTTTTTTTATTTGTGGAATTTGTTTGTATATTTGCAGATCTGTTTTCATTTGCAAAATATTTGTTTGAGTTTACAAATCTTTTCACATGTGTTTTTTGAAAGTGTTATATTTACAGATTACGCATTTACACACAGATCGCTCATCTGTGCACAAAAATAATATTGAAACAAAATTAACTCCATACTCGCCATTCGAATACATCATCTATAGCCTGGCAAGTTCTTTGGAACTGTTGGAGTGACGGAGCCGTGTGAGTAAGGGGAGATGTTTTCTGAAACATTGAACCTTGAACTACCAGGGTGTTCAAGGATTTCTCTTTCATATGTGCACCACCATACAGGCCCCGACGTTTACAAATCCAAGCGCTTGGTAATAATTTGAACGTTTCTTAGAGTTTGAACTGTGGTTCAATATTTTTTTATCCATCCCGGGAGAAACAAAACAAGGAATGTGTTATTTTTAAGATTACCAGAGTGGGTTGATAAAGCAATTTTATTTGTCCATTTATTTATTACTTTGGTGTATTGGTTTGACACAAAACATGTTTTAAAAGAAAGCTTTTTTTTAAGAGAACAGATGTAATAATAAATGTTTCTCCTTTTTTCATACTAAATATTGTTGTTTTTCATATTTGACTTACTTCAGTACAGTTCATAAGGTGAGCAATTATTACACATTGCACATTGTTGTGTACCTACTTAATCTGTAAAGTCAAGCCTCAAGTCACGGTAATGTCTATTAGTAAATAGGGAATATTTAGCCAGCTCACCATCAACAGCTAAGATCCCAGGAACCTGTCAAATACACTTTCAAAATAGTGATAGTAAGGCACACCTTAGGTCTTGTTTTAATCAGCTCTACTGGCCAGTGTGTGCTAGTGTTAACAAGGGTTACATTACTAACAAATGTTGTTGGGGTGACAGAGGTCTTTTATGATCCTCTCAGCCCTTGTCCTGCACTTCCTGGTGTAAATGTCTCGTAGGGCGTCTGATGGTGTGTTCAGCTTCACCACCCTCTGCAGGGCCAGGTAGACCCTCTTATTGCTGCTCCCAAACTGATACAGACACTGATATATCTGAAGTTGTCCAACCTCTCCACCTGGGCCCATTGATCTTGCTGGGTTGGGAGTTCCTCCTTTGTTTCCTCCTAAACTCTTCAGCTCCTTTGTCTTTCTGACATTCTCAGAGAGGTCATTGCACCAGTTCTCCGGGTGAGTCACTTCCTCTAGGTAGGCCTTCTCTTTGTGGTCAGAGATCAGGTCCACCAGATGGAGTGTGGCCACAGGAAGATGAAGATCCTGCTACGCATACTGGAGTTGAGTCTTGGGTCTTTAAGCTTTGCGATGAGTCTGGAGGGGACAATTGAGTCAAATGCTGAGGTGCATTTTAACATAATTCTCCCTCCGGATGTCCTGATGGGCCAGGTCAGTGTGGATGAGGTGATGTATTGCATTGTCCGTGGATCTGATTTGGATCTGTATTTTCTCGAGATTTGGACAACCAGGGTGGGTGGAGGAGATGATCATACTGGTCTGGAGGTGAGTGGACAAGAGAGAGTCCAAAGAGGATAGCAGAGCGGAGGAGGATTCTTTGGTTGACAGGAGAGAGAATTTTTCTGGAGATGGTAGTGAGGAGAGAACAGATAACGACAGAGTACTTATTTAATTTAATTCAATTCAATTTTATTTATATAGCGCCAAATCACAACAACAGTTATTTTCAGAAGCCCAACAATTCCCACCAAGAGCAAGCACAAGGCGACAGAGGCAATGAGATTCATTTAAAATTTATTTAAGATGGTACAGAGTTTACTTATTTAATGAAATGTATGAAATTAATTGTTCTTATGTAATCTTTATGTAGCTTTGGCAATACTGTTATACATTCATGCTAATAAAGCTGATTTGAATTGAAATTACAGAGTAGGTGGAGAGAGATATTGCAGGTTACGGTGGGAGGGGATTTTGTGAGGATGGGGAAGGAGGGAGGTGGAGGACTTCAAGGGGAGAGTGAAGGTGACAAAGTGGTGGTCAGACATGCAGGCTTTTTATTTGTACAAAAGCCTGATAAACTGAAGGGCATTTTTCTCTTTGATGCCAAGGTTACCATACCAGCAGATGATGGGAAATGAAATGACAGATTCAATGAAAGCTCTATAGAATAGTGAAATTAGAGTCTTGTCTAGTCTATGCTACAGACAGCTAGCTTTCAATTTAGCTTGTTTGTAACAATTGCCAAACTAACGTTAGCTGTGCTGTGCTGTGTACAACACAGAGGATGAGAGACTGCGGAGAGAGCAGATTAGAATAACTCTTGTCTACATGTTTATGCTTATTGAACAGATGGATTGATAAAGTAAGGGAAGGTTTTATTGCAGAGTATCGACAGTAGCTGTGGTCAACTCGAGTAATTTGGAGCTAACATATTCACCGTCTCCACCGAGGCCTCTCACACAGAGCAGGCAGATGACTGATAACAGACGGTGTTACATTACATTTATTCATTTAGCTGACGCTTTTATCCAAAGTGACTTATAATTGCTATACATGTCAGAGGTCACACGCCTGTAAAGTTCAAGTTAATTCAAGTTTAGTGATAATTTCAAGCAAATAAACAATTACATCAAATACATGTGTATCCAAGCTGGTTGCGGGAGCAGACTCCCTAAACTCTGTGTTACATTGGTTAATATATCCTGTCTCACTCCTCCTCTTGTGGGTCTTAGGGTCAGACCCACGTCCACCTCTATCCACACATATTCAATATTAAAACAATAGTGTATTCTACCCTACAACACTTCTAAAGAAATAAGAACACTTCTAAAGAAATTAAACTGAAACGTGACTTCAGAAATAAGACATCTTGATATTAGTCAAAAGTGTGCATAAGACAAAGCGAGTTAACATCAACACAAGCACAGTTTCGTGTGCTGTGTACTGTATCATGTCTCAAATCTTCTTCCCTTATCAGGTCCTCCTTACCCTTGCCTTCTATGTTTATAAATCTTAGTTTACTCCTTTCGAGTGGTGCAACAGGTGTCATCCACTTTATGTGAAAATCCAACACGGCCTCGTTGTCTCTCGTTTTGGATGTCTCATTGATTTTGAATCATGATCGTCACCTTAAACTCCCTTCTGGCCAATTAGCAACACTGCAGAAAAGATCATCGGTGCCAACCTGCCCTCCATTCAGGACTTATACATTTCCAGAGTCAGGAAATGGGCAGGAAACATCACTGCAGATCCATCTCACCCAGGACACAACCCGTTCCAGCTCCTCCCCTCTGGTAGGCGCTACAGAGCACTGTACGCCTAAACCAACAG